AAGGCATAAAGCAAATTTTGACCTTGCATGGTTGAATTCAGTGTACTGTGGACTCAATTTTGAGAAAGTCGAGGTTCTTGGCCTTTGGGAGCTATCCCACAGTGCCCTGCTGTGACCGTTCTGGCCAGAACTTGTGTCTTTACTGCTCTCCAAGGGTACATCTACACTGCAACACTATTTCACAATAAATAGCGCTATTCTGAAAGAACTTAGTCCGCGTCTACACAGCAGGCAGTTATTTCGAAGTAGTGTCAAAATACTGTCAAGGTGGAGGACTTCTTACTCCGACTCCTGTATCCCTCATTGTACAAGGAATAAGGGGAGGCGGAGGAAGAGTGCTCTATTTCGAAATAAGTGCTGTGTAGACGCTCCCAATTTCAAAAGAAGCTGTTTTGAAATAAGCAACTCAATTGATGTAGCTCAGTTTGCGTCGCTTATTTCGAGTTAAGCCCTGCACCCCCAAGTGAACAGGACAAGCCCTGGGAAAATTTGAATGTCATTTCCTGTGCAGCCAATGTGGCGAGTACACCTCACAGCAGGGAGCCCACCTGAGTAGCACATGTAGCCATGACTTCCGAGAGTTCAAGTCCCATGACCTTCGTCCCAGGGGCACAAAAGAGCACCAGAATGGAGTGTGTAGGAGTTCTTGGACCTTGTCAGGGCACGGGGGAGAGGAACCCCTTTTCTTGGAGCTCTGAAACATCAAAAGAAATGCCGATATCTACATGAAGATAGCAAAGTGCATGGTGGAGAAGGGATACTCCAGAGACCCTCAGAAGCATTGTGTTCAAATAAAGGAGCTGAGGCACACCTATCACAAAACAAAGGAGGCAAATGGATGGTTTGGTGCATTGCCGCAAACCTGTCTCTTCGAGAAGTGGCTGCATGCAATCCTTAGGGGGACCTGACCAGCCTCCCAAGCCAGACCAGGGAGTCCGCCCACAATGCTCAGGGCAGCAGCATGGCGGACAGCGTGGTGGCAGAAGGGGAGGGGAAGAATGGCCAGCTAGTGATCGGTGAGAGACAAGAACTTTTCATCCCTTTGGAACCAGTCCCCATCTCCCAGGACATCTCTCAGTCAAGCACGGATCCTGGAGGGCCCTTCTGCTGAGTTCAAAAAATTTTTCTTAAGCGGAGAAGACACCTTCTCACACTAAGCTGGCAGTAATGGGGGTCTGGTGTCAGTGCAGCATTAGATCCGGGTTTCTGAAGACAGAAGTTATGCCTCAGCCTGTCTGGAAAGAGCCCAGCACTCTAGTGATCAGTGCTGCTGGAACAGTCCTTAAGGCTGTTGACAAGTTCCCCTACCCGGGACGTGTACTGTCCTCTAGCATAAATGTGGATCATGACGCATCTGCTCGACTAGCCAAAGCCTTTGGAAAATTGACCAAACACCTATGGAATGACCATGGTATTAAACTCCGTACCAAGGTAGTGGTTTATCAGGCAGTTGTCCTGAATGTCCTCCTGTATGGCTCAGACTCATGGACAATATATCATTGCCATGTTTTGAAGCTCAATCAGTTCCATATGCGTTGTCTGAGGAAGATTGCCCACGTGAATTGGAGGGACAACATTCCGAACATGGAGGTTCTTAAGCTGTGTAGTGTCGTGGGCATGGAAGCAATGCTTATGAACAGTTTCGCTGGATTGGTCCTGTTATGAGGATGGATGATACACGGATACCAAAGATGGTCTTCTATGACCAGCTTGCTCATGGAAAGTGCTCTATCGGTGTTCAGTATGGGTGTGTCTAGACTACAGGGTTTTGTCGACAAAACTGGACTTTTGTCGACAAAACTATACCTGCGTCCACACTGCCTTTGAGTTATGTCGACATAATGTCGACAAAACTCAGCAGTTTTGTCAACGTATGTAAACCTCATTCTACGAGGAATAACTCCTATTATTGCATCTACACTGTCCTTTGCGTCCACACTGTTATGTTGACAAAGCGGCTTGCTTTGTCGACAGAACTGGATGTAGTCTAGACGCTCTTTGTCAACAGAAGCTTTGTCGACAGTATCTGTCGACAAAACTTCTGTCGACAAAACCCTGTAGTCTAGACATACCCTATAAGTGCTATAAAGACATTTTAAAGGCCAACATGAAGTCATGCGACGTATCTCCCAGTGATCTGGAAACGCTAGTTCAGGACAGGTTGTCCTGGCAGCAAACCACTGTACAGGCTCTTAACTGCTTTGAGAGTCAGCGTATCCAGGCATTTCAGGAAAAGCGCAGGATCCGAAAAGAACATACCGCAAGTTGGCGGCTTTTGATGTGAGCTCTGTAATCGGCTCTGCCAATCAAGTATTGGTTTAGTCGCTTACCAGCGGCGTCATAGAAGATGAGATCTGTCGATCGATGGCTCAGTCCAAGAAGATGTGATTTGGAGAAGAGGGATCTCTCGCATGGCAAGTGGGATAAAGAAGGAGGGGAAGTGATTCACTTCTGCCTTTGCTTCAGTACCTCTGGCACCCCCTTCCCACCCTCCTGCCCTCGGGCTCCGTGGCTTCCTGAAAAAATTAGGAAGAACGGCTCTTGCGCAAGAGGGTTTTTTTGCACAAAAAGGAGCCATCTACACAGCTTTTTGCGCAGCAAAAATGGCCCCTAATTAATTATGCAAATGAAGTGCATCAATATGCTAATCTGCACTTCATTTGCATCGGCTTTTGCGCAAGAGAGGGGCAGTGTAGACAAAGCCCTTGTGTCCAGCTGTTCCCTGGAGAATTCTGCTATGTGCCTGCAGTACAGTGGCTGCTTTAAAGCATCACTTTGGCCTTGCACAGAACACCTCCCCACTGTCCTTAAGGAGACCGTTGCTGTATGCTAGCAGATCAGGGTTTAGGCTCCACAGTATACCTCCTGTAATGTGTGCCCCTTGTAACTTTCCGTGGCAGCAGGAACAGCAGGCATCTCGTTGCGTCCTCCTCCAGCACCTGTCCGGCTCACGCCAATCCGCAGGCACAAAGGGACCCGAGAAGACATGTTTAAGGAGCAAATGGAGTAGAGGAATACGTTCTCGGAAGAGAGGACGGTGGAGGGGCAGGAGAGGATGGTGTGCAGAGAACTGCAAGCAAAGCACAAGGAGAATATTTTGAAGCAACAGGAGAACGTCTGTTCATCCCTGACAGCTGGGATGGAGTGCCTGGCAAAGAGCCTGGAGGCCCCTTTTCCCCAGGTAAAACAACTTTCCCTTTTCACCCAGTTTCATAGCCTCCATCCCCACGTGCCCCAGGACAAGGGGTTGGGAACATAAGGGCAGCCTCACACTCAACCTGCAGGGATGCAAAAGGCTTTCCTCACATTTCTCTCTCCCTTCCTCCCCTGCGCTTCAGGTCCCACCGTGGACTTGTTTTCTGTCCCTGCTGTCTTCCCTAAATAAAAAAAATGCACGATCTTTGAACAACAGTCATTTTATTGCTTGTATTGCGGGGTGGGGGGTGTGATGTAGTGGGGGGGAACTTGCTGGTTTCTATGGGTCTGTGGTAACCCCCACTGGCTGCTGCCGGGACCACATCCCAGAAGGACAAGGGATGAGTCATTATGCAAAGGGTCTCTCAACCTGTCTGACCAGCTCCCCCCCAGGGAGAGAAACAAAGGAAGGTGGAATGCTGCCCTGGCTGGGGAGCAGGGCTGGAAGGGAGTTAGTTAGTTTCTGTCTGGGATCATGGAGGAAGCAGCCTCAGCAACAGGCTGGGGGGTTTAGAAGCCGAGACACCCCCCCCCCCATATCAAGGGGGGCTGAGGCATCCTAGGCCTGCCCTGTAACCTGATGACATCTGTGCTATGCTGTATCCTGGAGAAGCAATAAACCACCTCTATTCTACTGGCTGGTGGAGTCTGTTCGTGCCATTTCGGGGGTGCAGGAGGCAGGGGGGTTACAGGCAAACCCACTGAATGCAGGGGCCCCTCGCTGAGAGCCATGCGCATGACTCTCAAGACGGGCCAGTCATAAAACTTTCTTTCCAAGCTTCTGCCCCCTGCTGCGCTCTCCTTATCACCCTGGTGCTCAGAGTCTCTGGCTAGGCCAAGGGTGGGCAAATTCCAGTCCGCGGGGTTACTCCCTGGAGGGCCCCCACCTCCATATTTACTTGCGCCTCCGCAGATATCGGAGGATCGCAGCTCTGGTTGGCCGCGAATGGCGATTCACGACCAATGCGAGCGGTGGGAAGTGGTGTCCTAGTGCAGCATGGAGGAAACCTTGCTTGGGTCCATCCCTGCACACACCTCTAGGCAGACTGACTCTCCGGGGAGACCCAGGAGGAACTGAGAGAGGAAAAGCCGCTTGCTGACTCTGCAGACGCACCGCCCTGCTAGGGGGTGAAGGGAGTCAAAGAGGGTCACACGACAGTATCAGGCAGAACCTCCCGCAACGGGGCTCCTTTGACTCTGCTCTTTTTCTAGCATTTGGCCCAGAGATATTACTGGGAGGCTTTGAAGAGCCCAAGGTGTGTTTGGATTCGGGGTGTGAAATGGTCCCAGCCCCTTCTGTAATTGCCCCTCTCGCCCGGACAGGCTGAGGAATTGCGTCCACGTTTCGCTCCAGAGCGCCCGTCTGCCAGGGGCCAGGGCCGGGCCATGGCCGGGATGGAGCCAGCTCAGGTAGGGGGTTTTCAGGGAGCTGCTGGGCAGTGGGAGGAAGAGACAGGGAGGGGACAGGGTGGGGGTAAACCTGCTGATTTTTTGATCAGGCCCAATTGGCAGCAGGGAAGGAGGGGACGTTCCCATTTTCTCAAACAGGGCACAACCACGCTGGGCAGGGCTGGGAACATTTTCCAGACTCCCCATGCCGGAGCCTGACCCCACTGTTCCTGTCCCTGTCCCCGGCTCAGAGCTCGGCTTCCCCTCTCAGCCTGTGGCTGGCAGGCATGTGGGGAATGAGAAGACCCTGCCCTGCTCCGTCTGCTGGGGGCACAGGAAGCTCACCCCATGGAACCTCCTAGGTGCTCTGCACCCCGATGTCTATCAGGATTGAGGCAGGGGCTGGGCGGGCCCTCTACAGGGACGTCATGCAGGAGAACTACGAGGCGGTGACCTCGCTGGGTAAGGGCGTCCTGGCCCCTCGGGGATTAGGAGCCGTGGGGTCTGCGTGTCCGACACGGGTCAGGTTCTTCCCTGCTCAGTGAAAAGAGAGGGGACTGGGTTACTCAGGGCCTAAGTTCCCTGCAAGCGGCGCAACCGTGCAGCCCTTTAATGAGCCCTGCACAGAAGCTCAGAGCTCCCACTCAGGCAGGGAGCTCAGCTGACCGGCACCAAGGTGGGGGCATCTCTTTGAGCAGCATCGAACGGAGCTGCCTGCTTCAAACGGAGGAACTGAGGGTAGTGAAAAGAGAGGGGACTGGGTTACTCAGGGCCTAAGTTCCCTGCAAGCGGCGCAACCGTGCAGCCCTTTAATGAGCCCTGCACAGAAGCTCAGAGCTCCCACTCAGGCAGGGAGCTCAGCTGACCGGCACCAAGGTGGGGGCATCTCTTTGAGCAGCATCGAACGGAGCTGCCTGCTTCAAACGGAGGAACTGAGGGTACGCTCCAAGCCATGTAGATTGGTTTGTTTGGCAAAGGGAAATGAAGCCGCGATTTAAATAATC